AAAGTTTTGTCATCATTTCAATATTTTTGAAATCAACTAGTCCCATTAACATTCCCATTAAGTTATTTAAAAAATGTAATGTTCTCTGAACATTCAAAACGTCCACATTCTAAAATGTTTTAGTTTTTTAGTTTTTTTATTGGTTATGAAAATGTTAAGGGAAGATTCCATTCCATCATTTTGCATTCCAAGATTCTATCATTTTGCAAACATCATGGGAATGTTACTTTTTTGTGTTCTCTGAACATAAGAAACAAGTGTAGAGTTCATTTGCAAAAACAGATAACTCCGTTTTTAACAATTTTCAAAAATCGTGTTTTTTCATTGTGCATTCCAATTAATCTCAATCAAATTGCAGTTAAGTTATTTTGATTCGGTAAAAAATAACTAAAAAATACAGCTAACTAACACAATAAAAACATGATAACATAATAAAAAACATGATTTTTGAAATGTAAAAAAAAAACGGAGTTATCTGTTTTAGCAAATAAACTCTTCAAGTACAAACATTAAAAAATTTGTTTAAAAAAAATCGTCTAACTAAAGCATTTCAAGAAAAAAAATGCTGCATTAAAGATGTATAAATAATGTTTTTATGCAATCATTTTGAGAACATTCCAAAGGAATATTGAACAAACATTCTATTAATGTTACTGGAAGAACATTTGTTCATAACTTTGAGAGAACCTTGCCAGAGCATTAGCCAAAGTTCAGATAACATTCCCTGTTAGCTAAGAGCCTGTTACGTACCTTTGTAAACATAAGATGACATGTTAAAAACCTGTGCACAAACTCTCACAAAGTGTGAAAAGTCAGCCATTGTTGCCTGCAACATGCATCAGGCGGTCCATGAACGATCCGTGGATGTGTCGTCCCTGAAACTAAAGCATGACATGAATTCACATTGTCCAAAGTAAGATGGGTTAGCACATATCCAATCAACTGATGCAGCGAACACTTAGGCCACCAATGTCTCGTGGTCCTCCGTCAATCAATAATTGGGTGACATTCAACTTCTCCTCACCTTTTGTTTGAGCTCCACAGTGGATAATTCAGCACTTTTGCGACCTACTCAAAACCCTTACTCAGGCCCTGCTGAACATTTATAGAGACACGCAGATTGTCTGGAACCAAATCAGTGTCCTGCAGCACTTAGATACATTCTTACCTTTTTGTACGTCTCATTTGCAGTTGCTAGACATCAGCAAGAGGCTAAAAGAAGACTTGATGAATGGTCCCTTTCACTTCTGCCTCTGGACCCTAAACAGAATTGCACTGGATCTCCTGTATAAGCAGTTTAAAGTTCTGGACTGCGCCGTGTAGCTGAATCGCTGCTGAGCACTGCTGTAGATGTTTGTGTGCATATGTGTGTGTTTGACAGCGATACTGGGTGCCGAGTCAGGTCCCCCGAGCTGATGGGGGAGGAAGGAGCCCGAGATGTATGTGATGTGATTTGTGTGTGTTTCTATGCGAGTTAAAGTGTGTGTAAATTTGTGTGCTTATGTGTTTGACAATGATGCCAATTCAGGTCCCATGAGCTGATATGATGGAAACAGGCCGGAACATATGTGATGTGTGCATTATAAAAAAAAGCGTGGCTATGTTCAGCATAGAATATAGCTTACTACTTACAGAACACTATATACTGTATACTACTTGTTATAAGTGAAAAAAAATGCTTTATTCCACAATAATTGTATCAAACAGTAGTGTCACATGACCTTATACATTTATGTTCAATTCAGTGAGTGGCTTTAAAAATAAACAAATAAAATAAAATAAACATTATTTTGCATTTTTAATCCATTTATACACTATAATTCAAAAGTTTGGGGTCAGTAAGATTTGTATTTTTTTTAAAGCAAGGAAATATTCAGTTGATCAAAAGTGTACCATTTATAATGTTACAAAAAAAAATTTTAATAAGTGCTGTTCTTTTGAGCTATATCCTCAAATACTCCTGGGGGGGAAATGTATCACCATTATTTCTTGAGCAGCAAATCAGCATATTAGAATGATTTCTGAAGAATCATGTCTGGAATAATGATGCTGAAAAATCAGCTTTGCCATCACAGGTATAAATTATATTTTAAAATATAAGATGATAGAAAACAGTTTTTTTTTATTGTAATATGATTTCACAATGTTACCATTTTTACTGTAAGTTAATGCAGCCTTGGTGAGCATAGGAGACTACTTTCAAAATATTTTTTTCAAAAAGTGCACTGCATTGTGGTATACAATATTCTACACAATAATGATATGTCCCATAGATGGTATAATCCTACATGATATCTCACCTGTCTCAACAAATATCATCTAATGTAGGAACTTTTTAACTCATTAACACAATTTATTTGCTTTAAAGTCAACTTTCCGTACCCACTGTATATATATATATATATATAAAAGTATAAAGTCACACACACTTCCAATTTAAACTAATACAAAAAATAAAATAAAAAATAAAATAGAATAAAATAAAAATACTTGTATTACAATAATGTGAATGTTAAATAAAAAAGTAAATAAAAATAAAATGAATGTAAAATAATAATAATAATAATAATAATAAACAAAATTAATTGTAATTGTGGTAATGACAGTAATGGGAATTTTAATTTATAGAATTAAATATATATATATACACACACACATCATAAAACATCTTCTCTGCCCTGAATAGCTGAGGAAAACACACAAACGTGCTCTCAGTCGATTAATCCTGCGTGCTCGTGTTGAACGTTCTCTCAAAGCAATCGAATCGCATTCATGATGAGGATGAAGCATCTGCTGTTCGAGATGCTGTTTAACCTCACATTCGTGTTTTCACGTTTACACGCATCGAATATAAAGACACCTCGCCTCAAACCAGCTGTGACCAATTTCTGCCAAAACAGACCAGGAATGTGAAAGCGTTTAAAAACAGGTTTCTCTTTTCATCCAGCTGTGCCACTTTGTTCGGCGCTTTTCTAATTTCCCCCCGGCTTCACCTGAACACCGTCTCAATCACATGATCTCTGTCAGCAACATAAAGCCATTGTGTTTCACTCTGCTGATGCTGAATAACGTCACACTGCTTTTCATAAGAGTCACACTGTGCTTGAGAGACGGGACACTGAGCTACTCATTGGAAAACTGGTGAGAGCATAAAGTCTCACACAGTAATTTAAATAAATAAATAAGTAAATATTTTTTTGTTTGTTTATTTATTTCAGTAATGAGAATATGGGGTAAAATGCAATATATATATATATAAGATTATATATATATTTAATTTTTAAAAAAATATATATTTAGTACTCACTGAAAAATAGTTGCAAGCATAAAGTCACACACATTTTCAATTTAAATAATACTAAAAAATACAATTAAATTAAATTAACTAAAATTAAATTAAATTAAATTTTAAAAATGCATTACAGTAATGACAATTTGGAGTAAAATGTAAATTTTTAAATAAAAATAATGTATAAGTAAAAATACAAATTAGTTAAATTTAATAAAAATAAAAGTAATAAAATAGTAATATAATTTCGAAAATAATACTAATAAATTTTGTAGCAATTACAGTAATTGGGATTCTAGCAAAAATAACCATATTGGCATAATAATTTTGGTTTAGTGTTATTTTATTATTTTGAATGAATGTTTATATTTGTATATCCCTCTTTAATTTTAGTTACATTTTATTTTTATTTTTTAATGTTTCTATATCGTTTTTATTCATTTTTAGTTTGACTTACTTTAGTATATCAAGTGAAACTAAATGAAAATAAGCTGAAATCGGTGTAGGTTTTTGGATATTTGTTTATTTCGAGATGAGTGTTTGAATCCATCGCTGACGGTACGAGTGTGTAAATGAGCGTCTGACGGCGTTTGTGAATCATGCATGAAGACGCTCTGAAAGTAAAAGTGTTTCGTGAGACGGTTCGAACAGCATCTTTTGTCACCCGACTGTCCACCTCCATTAAAACGGCCTCAGACAAGAATGCCGTCTGAATATTTCACCGCAAAGCCAAAAGTGCAAAAACGGCCGTGTGCTTTATTCATGCTTCCATCATCCCATCATTCATTCAGCAGCTTTTCTGCAGAAAATAACGCACTGTTCCTCAGAACAGTCCATCGACAGAAAACTGAACAGCTGACCTAGTGCTATTTTACTATCATTGATTGTTTTTATTGATATTTTGATTTGAATGAGTTTTTCTTTGTATATTTTACGTAAATTTTTTTGTAATTTTGTAGTTTTTTATTTAATATTTATTTATGCATTTATTTATTTTTATTTAAGTTTTAGCTTTAGTTTAGTACATACAAGTGACACCAAATGAAAATGATAAATGTTGCTTTGGCAAACTATTTCAATCTTTATGAATCTTTATTTTTATATATATATTTTTAACTAACTTAATTTTCCATCAAAACATAACGTTTTTTTAAATCTTTATTTTTATAGTTTTTATTTTTAACTAACTTAATTTTCATCCAAAACATGTCATTTGAATCTTTATTTTTATATTTTTTATTTTTAAATAACTTAATTTTCATCCAAAACACAATGTTATTTGAATCTTTATTTTTATAGTTTTTATTTTTAAATAACTTAATTTTCATCCAAAACATAATGTTATTTGAATCTTTATTTTGAATATTCTAAGAACATTAAAATGTAAATTTTTCAGTTTGTGATTAAAACATAAAAAAAAAAAACGATTCTTAGAAGTGCAAATAACATCATAAGGACGATCTGAGGATGTTGTTCTATGAACCTTTTCTCTCAATGTTATGATAACGTGTATCGGATATTAATAAGGTTTTAAGTACGTTTTGTCCTAACATTTATATAACTTTTTAAAAATGTTAACGAAAGCTGTGAGAACATTCCCTGTTAGGTAGCTTTTCTGAACTTGCTAAAAAGTCGGCATAACTCTGGACATGATACCCCGCTGCCGTCTCGACTTCTGCTTCCACGTTTCTCTGACTCTTAATGGAGGCTTTTAAGCGCCGCAGGAGCAGAGTCTCAGCAGACGACGGACAATTTCAGTCTGCAGCTTCACGCTGGTCCTCCGAAGCGCTTTCAGGCCTGTTTGAGCGCAGGATTCGCTGTGAGCGCTGTAATAAGTGCAGGTCGTTGGGTGATCTGATATCACATCATCTGTGTGTAACGTCTCATACGAGTGTTTTCTATAACACTCACATTTACATGCATTCACTCTGCGGAGGCTTTTATCCTCACTTTCTGTGCCGCCCAGGTTGCATTACACGCGACCCTCGACCAGAACGATCTGCTGAATAATGAAGAAGCTGCAGACATTATCATCATGAGCGCAAACACACATGAAGTGCTGCTGAGAATCACTCGGACGTGAGAGGAATCAGAGGAATCAGACTCAAAAGGCAGGAGACATCAGGACACAATCTAGCGCTGCAGGTTTCTGAGCGAAGCAAACGATGTTTTCAGCGTGAGAGATCGGCTTTGTTCTTATCTTCAAAAGACAAGAAGAGCGTCGCGCCGGAGCAAACACAAAAGCACAAAACACTGACACGGCATTAACAGAGTCCAATCTGAACAGCGTCTCAGTTCAGTTACTTTTGACATCAGTCAAAGGACTTTTTTTAGCTTTGAGAGGGATTACATGATAATAATAATTAGAGATGCACCGATGTATCGGCCGATAATCGGTATCGACTGATAAAAGCTATTTTCTTCACTATCGATTATATCAGGGCCGATTATATCCTGTCAATCAAAAGGAGGAGGCCAAAACATGTTAGACTGCAACTCATACAGTGTGTGAAGAAAATATCTTGTGGGCTGTTGAAATTAACACGGTAAAAACGCATTAACAGATTAAAAAAATTAGCAACACTGAATATTATAAGTTGAATATAATAGCTCTGTTATTAATTTTAACCTTTAATATAACAGTAATGTAACAAATGAGAGGGTTCCCAGTATAGTTTACATCATAAGTTATAGGAGAGATTTTTTTTCTTAAGAAAATCAAACTATCGGTATCAGTATCGGCAGATATTCTGAATAATCGGTTATCGGTATCGGTGGAGAAATTCAGTATTGTGCATCTCTAATAATAATATTTATACTTGATATTGTTATTATTATACATTGTGATGATAATAATGTATATTTAATATTATTATTAATAATATTAATTATACTTTTATTTTTATTATTATTAAGACAAAAATTAAGTTAATTTACAAAAGAAAAAAAACTAAGAAAAAAATGCATTACTTGAAATAAAATACACATTAACTGAAATAAAATATAAAAAACTTAAAACATTTCAGTTGAAGTGCTAAAATAACAGACTAAATAAATTAAAACTAAAACTTATAAAAATGACAAAAACACACAACAAAATTAAAACTTTAACTTGAATTAAAGTGAAGATATAAAAATTTATAAAATCTAATTAAAAATAAACAAAAACTATAATAGTACATGAATGATGACTAAAAATAATTAAAATAACACTGAATACAACTGCACTGTAAAATAAAATAAAAAATTAATATTTCACCATACGTATATTAATAATGTAATAATAATAATAATAATAATAATAGGCATTAGCATTAATATTACATTTGTTGTTGTTATTGTTATTATTAAGACAGAAATTTTTCTATTGCAATACAACTGCATAGTAAAATAAAAAAATATAATATTTAATTACATATACTTAATATATTACTATATTTACAAACACTTCTCAGTACGATAAGAGTTGATGATAGATAGATAGATAGATAGATAGATAGATAGATAGATAGATAGCACAGCCTGTTTGGATTATGATTACTTTTAAAAATTATTATTATTTTGAACTTGCTATTGGAGCTTTTCATATAAACCAAACAGCTCTATTTCTATAACAGCTTGTCTGGTGCTGGTGCTGGTGCTGATGCTGATGTGAGGGTCTGATGTGAATGAAGACGCACCTGACCGGTGCTCCGCGGCTCCGGGCCGGTTTCAGAAGGACTGTCACTGTGCTGTCGGTCTGATTCAGCGGCGTCTCCTGCTCGTATCCCGGCATACGCGGCGCTGTTATGATTGACAGGTGACATATGAGCACGTCTCACACACACACACGCACACACACACGGCTGGCGTGGCTCTTACGTGAGATCTTGGTTGTGAACTGTGCGGTTTCGGGCGGCCCGTATCCTTTGACCGTACTGGCTCTGACGGTGAAGGAGTACGTGGATCCGGGATACAGACCCGTGAAGATGTGCGACGTCTCGTTGCTGAACTTCAGCATCTTCCCGCTCTGATTGGACAGATTGAACTCAGGGTCGAAGGAGCTGACGGCCTTATAGAAGATCTGCAGGCACAAAAACAGCACATCACAGGAGGAAGCCCCGCCCACAGCGCCATCTCATTGGTCCAAAGTCCCACTGCGCATTATTGTGAATATTCAACATGAAATCCAAACGGACTCGGTTTATTTTCTTTTTGTGAATGATTCAGCAGTGATGAACATTTCAACATTTTCAACATTTTTTGTGCACAGAACTTTACAGAACTTCACCAGTACTCTGCCAAAATAAAAATATGAAAGGCTTGAGGGTTTGAAAACTAATTAAGACATAAATATTGGAAATTATTAATATAATTTAATTTAATTTTACAATACAATATATAGTAATATATTTCCGTTTCATTTCTATACAAATTAAAACAATAATAATTAAAAATAATATAAAAAATTAAAATAATAATTAACATAAATATTAGTATTGTAACTTGTAGTGTAAAATAGGAGTAGAATACAATTACATTTATTTTAATTAATAATTTTATAATTAATGTAATGTAATTTTATTTTACAGTACAATTGTAATTTACAACAGTAATATATTTCTGTCTTCATTTTTATAAGAGTTAAAACAATAGTTACAATAAAATAATAATAAAGTAAGTTAATATAAAAATAATATAATATAGCAAGATAATTTATTTATATTACAATAATATATTAATATAATTTATAGTACAATTACAGTACAATTGGAATTTACAACAGTAATACATTTCTGTCTTCATTTTTATAAGAGTTAAAATAATAATGATAATTATAAAAATCATAAAAATAATTAACATAAATATTAGTATTGTAACTTGTATAAAATAAAATAAAAATAGTATAATAATATATTTTATTTTATAGTACAATTGTAATTTACAATAGCAATATATTTCTGTTTTCATTTTTATAATTAGTTAAAATAATAAGTTACTCATTATTATTATTATTCAACTTGATTGGGCTCGTAAAACACAAGTGTGAATGTAATGTGGCCAAAATAACACATTTAATTACAATAAAAATAGGTTTGAGTTGACTTTAAAGCCCAGCTGCAAAGTCAAAATAAAACCCTTACTAAAAATATATATATATTATCTATTTACTTGCATGTCATGTGACCATTAACGGTTATCAGAAGACTGGGAACATGTGAATGTTTCATGAAATTATTTAAATATGAACTTAAATCTCAGGCGGGCTTCAAGTAAATATTTCATGTCTGAGGCGTTCGGCTGACAAAAGCATTTGTGAATCCCTGCTGTAAAGAAATCAAGTGTTTGTCTTGAGCTTCAGAACGCAATAACACAAGATTCAGAGCAATCACAATTAGAGGACGCGGCTGTGAAGTAACGAGGAAGCATTTCTGCGTATGATCTTTTATGATGATGGAGACTCACTTTTGTTCTCTCTGATTCTCTTCTGCTCTCTGCGGTCGAGATGAGAGTCAGACGCACCGCGCTTCTAATATAACTTAATGAAAAGTAGCTGAGGGGCTTGATTTGAATAAATCATTCAGCTGCTAATGGGCGGCGCGGATAATGCCACTCTATTCAGAGTCCAATTTAAGGCCACAAAGGGAGCGGCGATGGGACTCATGTTAGTCTAAGACAGGTAGATGGATAGACGTCTACACTGATCCGCACGGGGAAACCACGCCGGAATACCAAACCAATCAATCCCAGGGAATAATGCTGATAAATAATAATATACAAACAATTCAGAAAACATCACAGGCTGATCTTTATTCTGGACGAGCTGCTGAACTACACTGCATTTATTAAACGTCCGGTTTATTCTCTCTCTAAAAGCTCTACTCAGTAAATGCATGGAAGCCGCACCAGTAAAAGACATCATTCATGAATGTGTTTGTTCATTCAGTATTTTGTCTACTAATAAGTGTTTTGTTTGACACATTTACCATGTTTACACATAAAGTGTATTGTTTCTATGTGGTACCAAATGGAGTTGCAAAATTTTGTCTACTTTCTAGCATGTCTCAAAAACTCAACTACCATTGGTCGATAAACAGATAGCTCCACCCCAAATGCACGCTATTGGTCGAGCCAGGGGTTTTCAAACTGGGTTGCAGGGAAAAGTTTAGAGAAAAAATAAAATTTTATAATAAATACTAAATAAAAATTATTACTCTAAAAAAAATAAAAATAAAAAAATACATAAATAAATATATTAAAATAATTAAATGAATAAATAAATAATCAAATTAATAAACATATAGTAAATAAATAAATATATTAAAATGATATGAAAATAAACTAATAAATAATAAAAATTATATTAAAATAATTTGATAAATAAAAATCATATTAAACAATACAAATTATATTAAAATAAATAATAAATAAAAAGATAATACACCTAACAGTACAGTAAAAAATAAATAACTTGATGTAACTTAACAGAAACGAAATATTTATAAATCGGTGTAGTATATTTCTATATCTTTATCCATGAAAATATATAGCTGTCTCACATCAGGGTTATCATAGTTAACTAAAACTAAAACCATAAAAAATTTGTTATTGAAATAAAATAAAAATCTAATAAAAATGACAAAAACACATACTAAAATTACTAAAACTTTAGTAAAATTTAAAATGGAAATGGAAAATCTAAAAATAAAAACGAATCCAAACTGAAACATATTTTTTATTTCAGGCATGTTGCCAAGCAAAGAATTAAAACTGAAATAGAAATGTATAAAATCTAAATAGACATTAATAAATAAATAAATATTCATTACAAAAACACAACAAAATTACAAAAACTTCAATCAAATTTAAGGCTAAGTTTAAGGCTACGGAGGCCTGACCCCAGATCAGGACATTTATCGGGATCACAGTCCTGCTCCATCATTACTGTGTTTCTGAGCAAAGCACTTAACCCAGAATGCACTGGGGCGACTCGCTGTCTGTGCAATTACTGCACCGCACGTCACTGCAGCTAAACGACTGCACCTACATCACCTCAACCCCGCAGAAACGCTCCGCACCGGCACAAACGCACGGGAGCTTCCCGAAATACCACGGAGGAGCGATCCTGCTGGAAGTCGAGCGACTCTAATGAGGCAGAAAGCTTTGTTTGGTCCTTTTCCCTTTAGCAAGCGGCACCGATCGCAGCCCTGACACTTCCTTGAAGGCGAGCGCGATGACAGAATGTAATTTCATAACGTGAATCTGACAGCTTAATTGGTCGCATTTCCACAAATGAAGTTCTGCAACAATGAGTCGTTTGAGCAGCGCTTTGTTCCGAGTTTCCAGCCGCAGAATGAGTCACGCGCTTCAGAAATCATCACAAAATGAGCACACAATGTAACAGCCAAAATACACTGTGTGCTTCAATAATAGACGGACTGAAACGGCGCTCGCGACACTTTTCACTTCCATAATGCAATGCACTCGGAGTCTCTGAAGGCCTTGCATTTTATAGATGCGAGTTTATTTACTGTCTCAGCAGTGGATGCTCTGCAGTGAATGGGTGCCGTCAGAATGAGAGTCCAAACAGCTGATAAAAACATCACAATAATCCACAGCACTCCAGTCCATCAGTTAACATCTGGAGAAGACAAATCCAGCATTAGCTATGTTTCCATCAGCCTGGTTTAATGCGCATTTTGAAGCATCACATCAGAAACGAGTGAAGGAAATGGCAAAAAAAGTTTTTCTGCTCGCTTGAGGTGGTTTTTGACGTGTGTGAAAAAGGGTTCATGTGAGTAATAGGAGATTTTGTGAATGAATTCCTTCATGCACATCAAAAAAGTCATGTGACTTTGCGCTATGGGACGGAAAAACCTGACTAACCAGCAGACAGACCTCGTTACACTGCATCTGAAATGTTGTTATGGTCGTTCTGAAATGCCCGAGCAAAGTCTGTCATCAAAGTATTTCTGTATGTTTGCCTCCCAGAACTTCCTGAACAGCAGCATCCAGCTCCGAAAGCATGAGCGCATTTATCGAGGCACAAGTAATTTACTATACTGTATATGAAAATTATTAGATTCAGTGGCTTCTACTTTTCTTAGTGATATTTAGTGCCGGTTTATCAGGAAGTGACGATTTTGTTCTCTTTGACTCATTGGATGGAAACGGTGCTTATTCGCAAATGTTTTATGCGATATTCAAATTTTGTGCACATGTTAAATTACAAATTTGGATGGAAACCCGGCTATTAAGACGTTTTCAACTAAAATCCGAGTCCATAATCCATAATGACGCTTCCTCCGGTGAAAAAGAGCATCTCCTGTTGTCTCTCACATCAAAATCCAGCCACAGATTTGTTTAGAGACACTTTTTCACTGGAGGAAGAGTTATTATGGATTATGGACTCTATGGTATTTGAGTTAAAACCGTCTTAATGCTGGATTAGTTTCAGCTTTTGTCTTCTCCAGATGTTAACTGATGGACTGGAGTGCTGTGGATTACTTGTGGATTATTGTGATGTTTTTATCAGCTGTTTGGACTCTCATTCTGACGGCACCCATTCACTGCAGAGCATCCATTGCTGAGACACTGATGCAGTGCTACATTTCTACAAATCTGATCCTAATCTCAGATGATCTGAGGGTGAGCAGATTATTAGCTAATTTTGGGGTGAACTATTCCTTCAATAATGGACGTACTGTACTAGCGTTCACACCCCATTTCACTTCCATAATGCAATGCACTTCCTAGTTATTCAACAAGCCGTTTCAAATTTAAGAGCAAGTTATTCAGTTCAGATGACTAATTATGTAGATATCTTTTTTGATAAAATAAAACCGCAATCAGACCAAGAACCTGAATGGGTGTTGATTTCATGCGGTGTTTTTTTCCTGTGAAGGGAACATGTTTCCTCCTGCCACATTCCTGCTGCGTGAGCTTTCTGTGAGTCCAGCGCTGCGGTATGTGCTTCTGTTTGTTCTTCCAGTGCCATACAAATCCCAGACTCTTTTACTGCCACTGAAACAATGAAAATCCCCTCCGACGGGAAAACTAGAGCGACGGTTTGCTCTTCCACACGTCAGTAAGAGCTATACTGTAAGAGTAAGAGTAAAGAGCTATAAAGTGAATATGGAGAGCAGCTCATCCAGATAACAAAAATATGTGCTATATAGTTTCTCTGAACATTCAAAACGTTCAGTTTTTTAAATGGTTTGGAAACATTTTTTCTTGGTTATGCAAACATTCCATTTGCGAACATTACGGGAACGTTACTTTTGCATGTTCTCTGAAACAAGTAGCAACATTTCAAAAATGTTACACGAATGTTATTTCGGAGAACATTCAAAAGTAGCGTTCCCATGACGACTGCACGGAATGGAATGTTTTCATTCACAAGGAAAAACGTTTCTAAAACATTTTAAAAACTAGTTTTGAACATTCAGAAATAACATTTTAGGAACGTTTGCTAAACGGTCTTACTAGGGCTGGGTAAAAAATATCGATTCCTCGTTTTTAATCGATTCTCATTTTCATGAAACCATATCCTAAGAATCGATTAACATTGTACCGCCTCCCATCCAATAAATCGCAATACGCTTTGAGATTTGTTACTTTTGATATGAAACCATCTCAGATTTCAAATGCTGTCCATTTTATTACAATATTTAAATATGAAATGCCGTTTTGGCACCGTTTAATGTGGAGTGACAGATCGTCTCCTCCGCTTTAACAGCAGTTACAGCATGAAATAAACATGAATGAACATCCGAAGGTACTGTATGTTAAAAGAAAGAGTACAACTTCCCGAAATCCGTCTCCTGTCTCATGTAATCGCTCAGTGTTTCAAACGCGGAGAGACGACAATAGCAATGTCACATAACATCAGCTAGAAAAATGAACTAAACTGAGCTAAATATGCACCATATTACATATTCATTATCATTTTACTGTTCTTTAATATCTGTTTGAATAAATCCATCAAGTTTTTGTGACAGACACTATTTAAATGTTTATATTTCAAAAAAACGAATTGGAGTAGAAATATAATTATGTGATTTAAAGCTAATATGACATAAAAACTTTATTGAGTAGATTTTAAGTGTTTGTATTAGGGCTGTCAATTGATTAAAATATTAATCGCAACTTATTCGCACATTTTTATCTGTCCTAAATGTACCTTGAATTAATACTTTTCAAGTTTTTAATACTCTAATAACATGAGCATGGACAAATATGGATGCTTTATGCAAATGAATGTTTATTATTAGTGTAACCATACTCAACATAGAGCATAAAGAATCCAGATACAGGTTTTCACAAAAACAAAAAGTTTTTAAAACTATTTTTTAAGAAAGTGAATCAAAAGTATCAATTATTATATTAATCTAAACAATTATTATCAATAATTATTATATTAAATAACATATAATTATATTTTACTGGCTTAATTGTTTAGATTTTCATAATGCATTATCTTATTATCGATCTGTTCACATTTACAGCTGCGCGTTGCTGCATAAAAACATGGCTGAATGTTCGCATTGGTCTGAACAAAAACAGCAGACCGGTTTATTGAAAATGTAAATTCATTCTCTGGCAGCAGGTGGCGCTGTCGGAACGGCAGAAACATAGCGGTTTATCCGACTGTAAACAAAACAGCGCAGCAGCGGACTTTGAAACATGCAGCGCTCATATTTATTTATTCAATGAAATCATCACCTTCTGAAGTTTAATCTCACATTAAGTCATATCGCAATTCTGGTCTTTCCGTCCCCAAATTAAAGACCTCTTGAAATCATAAATAAGACTTTCTTTTACCATTTAAGACTTTTTATGGCCTTAAATATGATACAACTAAATTTAAGACCTTTTAAGACCCCGCGGAAACCCTGAAACAGAAAATGCGCGCTGCATTAATCGCGTGTTAATAGAATTAGTGCCGTTAAAATGAATTTGTGTTCTTAACGCGTTAATTTTGACAGCCCTAGTTTCTATACAAATCAGCAAATTTCAGGTACTCTCAGGTATATTTTACAGCATTAGTTGAGAGATTTATTTTTTTTTCCTTGAGAGAATTTGCCATGTCCTGTACCTGATATATATCCAAAACGATCAATACTGAATCGAAATCGAATCGCAAGCTTGTGAAAGACAACCGAATCGAATCAAAACCCAGCTCTAGAGCTTATAAGATGTTTCTGTAGGCTGGGCGTGAGATGACTCCGTCTCGTCTCGTTCCTGTAGGAGGCTGTAATTGTTGCAGCGGCTCTTTTCTAATGGAATCTCTCGGCACTGCTGACCTGAGCGGCGTTTAAAGCGCCGGCTGCTTACAGATCTAAAGGTTATTCGTTTAGATTTATTAGTCAATTAAGAGAGTGTAGAGAATGACATACGGAAGATGAATGCTGAAGCTTGAAGGAATCGGGACTCACTTCATACTGTTTGATTATGCCGTACGTCTGAAGCGGTTCTCTCCATCGGAGGGCGATCTTCTCCTCGTATGTGCTTCCTTGGATGGACTCCTGCGGAACGGCGCCGGGAACTGGAAAAGAAAACACGGAGACTGATCAGAGTCTGCTGATCAAACACGTATCGATCTGAAGAGACACCGATGAGCTTTAAATCAATATTCTCTCGTATTCAATATGTCATAGTAAAATGAACGGCCTCCATGCATGAGAAGGATTATTCATCTATTCAGTCGAAGGAATATGGAAGTTTGTTGTTCCTTGACCTCTGAACATCTCCAGAGGTTCGAGCTTCGGCCTTGACTGCAGGCTTGTTGTGTTTTCACATGTTTCCTCATAAAACATGCTGTTTGTATGGACGCTATTGTCTAATAAAAATAACACACTTAACTCTGAAATCTGACACGAACAAGAATTGAAGCCATTCATAAATGCAAATGGAATTAAGTTCAACACGAATGACCTTATTCCTGATGAAATCGGTGTTTTCACATGGTTTTATTGAAAATAAATTCAAAAGAGCAAGAATATTTAATAAATTAAACTAGAATTATGTCTGAGGCTGCAGCATAATCATAAAACATACCATTTTTTTAAATAAAACTTTTTATAATGTCAATTTTTATCATACAGTCTCTTAAGTATAACATTAATATTTTTTGTTGTTAAAATATTTTGTTTTTGCAAGAACTATAACTTGAGTTATGGTATGTCTGAGGCTGCAGTTGAATCATAAAAATAATAAAATATTAATAAAACGTTTTATAAAAATGTCAATGTTTATCATAAAGAATAAATATGACATTAAGATGAAAGTTTTTGTTGTTCAGAAAGTCTTGAATCATGTCTGAGGCTGCAAGAAAATTACAAAAATACCAATAAAAATATTATAATGCTAATAATATCTTTTTTAAGATGAAATGTTTTGTTAATCATGTCTGAGGCTACAGCAAATCATAAAAATACCAAAATAGATATTTTTTGGAAAAAAAAAAGTTTTATAAAAGAAAAGTCAATGTTTTTCATATGGACTCTTAATATCACATTAACATAAATGTTTTTGTTGTTGAAAATTTTTTTTAGTTTTTGTAAGAAAATGTTTAAATGAAACTTGAATTTTTTAACTAAATGTTTTATTTAAAAAAAGGTGTCAATGTTTATCATACAGACTCGTGATATTAAATTAATATAACTGTTTTTGTTGGTAAGATTAATTTTTAGTTTTTGCAAGAAATTTATCAATTAAACTTGAATGATGTCTAAGACTGCAGCCAAATCATAAAAAAATGCCAATAATATAATATAATATAATATTGTAAATTATAAATTTTAATTATATTATAAATTATTAATATAATTATAATAATAATAATAATATTTTTTTTAATAAACTGTTTTGTCAATCACGTCTGAAGCCACAGCAAATCATAAAAATACAAAAAATAAAAATAAAAATAATAAAAAGTCTGAAAAGTTCGTATCGAAAATTTCAATGTTTATCATATAGACTCTTAATATTACATTAAGATAAATGTTTTTGTTTTTAAGATTTTTCTTTCCCAAGACAATTTATAAATGAAACTTGAATCATAATGATGCTACAGCTAAATCATAAAAAAATATCCATAAAATACTTTTTGTAAAAAAAGTCAATGTTTTAATATGGACTCTTAATATCACATTAACATAAATATTTTTGATGTAAAAATTTATTTTTAGTTTTTGTAAGAAAACGTTTAAATAAAAGTTGAATCATAAATGATGCTACAGCTAAAAAATATCTATAAAAAATTTTTTAACTAAAAAAAAAAGTGTCAATGTTTATCATACAGACTCTTAATATTAAATTAAGATAACTGTTTTTGTTGGTAAAAAAATACCAATAATATAATATAATATAGTAAATTATAAATTTAAATTAATATTATATTATAAATTATTAATAAAATAATAATAATAATAATAATATTTTTAAATAAAATGTTTTGTCAATCACGTCTGAATCCACAGTAAATTATAAAAACACACACAGAAAACAAATAAATAAACAGTTTTATCGGAAATGTCAATGTTTATCATACAGACTCTTAATATTACATTAAGATACATGTTTTTGTTTTTAAGATTTTTTTTATACCAAGACAATTTATAAATGAAACTTGAATTATATATGATGCTACAGCTACATCATAAAAAATATCCATAAAATAATTTTTATAAAAAATTTCAATGTTTTTAATACGGACTCTTAATATAACAGTAAAATTAATGTTATAAAACAGATAGTTCCGGTGCTTGATTCTGATTGGCTGAGCCACGTTCGAAGCTGTTGTAAATGACTCTACAAAGTAACATACACCTTTGTTTACGTTTGTCTGTTGCTCGGCAACCACTTTGTAGCAACCACAACTGTTTCTGAGGAGCTACATTGTTTGGTGGAAGAATACTGTTTTTATTAATATCATTACACTTTATTTGCTCTGTTTTATTCTGTGAAACTTTACTACGTATATGGAATAACCGTTTTATAAAAGCAATAATCCCTGTGAAGCCGTGGTTTACAGTGAATTTATAACAGCTAAGGGGGTATATATTATAACTCCGCTTCGCGTCGTACCTAACAACGATGTTATAAACTCACTGTAAACCACGGCTTCTTGGGGCTTATTGCTTTATTATTGCTTTTTTAGGAGTATTTTTATGTCATGTCTGACGCTGCCGCCAAATCATATAAAATACAGTTGAAATGCAGTTTTGTTAATAAAAAGACTCTGGATGCTCATGACTGACCGTCCTCGTCGGTGAGCACGTCGAGCTCGTCGCTCTCTTTGACTCCCTCGCGGTTGCGCAGCAGCAGGCGGATGCTGATGTTGGTGTAGGGCTGCAGGCTGCGGATGGTGTGCTGCGGCGCGGCGCTCAGAGTATCGTAGCACGTCTCCTCGCGCGTCTCCTCTTTGCCGTTAGCCGTGTAGCGGTACTGCACCGTCAGATTGTAGCTGTAGCAGCGTGTCACGTTGTATCCGAACGGCTCCCAGCGCACCGTCAACTGCTTGGATTTGATGTCTACGACCTGCAGCCATCGAGGGCCGTGCATGGGATCTGAAACACAGGAGAACCGTATGCACTGCGCTTAATAAAAGCACAAAAAGCTTTCAAATGCAAGAAAAACAACGTTTTATCAGTAATGTCTTTCTAAATGAGATCTCCATTGTTTTTGCATCAGACAAATTTAAATATGAGCAGTTGAAAAAACTAAAAAATATTGTCCACAATTATGAGTCTTCAAGGCCTGTGCATTGGATCTGAAACACAGGAGAAACGGTTGCATTGTAAAAGCATAAAAAGCTCTGATATCAAAGACACAAACACTATTTAATCGACTGTATTTAATGTAAATGTGTCTGTATCATCTCGGTCAGCTATTATAGTTAACTAAAACTAAAATCATACAAAATATTTTAGTTACCTGAAATGTTAAATGTAACAACAAATAAAATATAAAAAAAGTAAACATTTTATTTCAGCTAGTTTCAAATTTCAAATTTTTAGACATATCAAAAAACAACAAAATCACTAAAACTTTAACTAAAATTGAATTGAAAACAGAAAATATAAAAATGAAGACTAATTTAAAATATTAACTAAAACTATAATAATATCTCAATGATACTAAAATAACACTGGCCTACAGAAGTCATTTTTAAATTAAATACTCCTAGTTTTTCTACTATTAAAAAATATATATAATAATATATATATCTGTACTATAAAATGTGTGTGTATATGTATATATATATATATATATTATAATTCTAATTATTAATTATTACAATTATTATTGTGTTATTGATAATATTTATAATTAATTAAATATTGATGATTTTGAGGGCTGTGCATGAGATTGTGAAAGAAAGGAGAAAATAAATTTATTAAAATAAAACTATTTTTAAGAGCATTAACATATTTTGTATTGTGTTAGTTTCATGACAATATTATTTACTTTAATAACAAAAAAATATTGCATAACAGTAATGAGAATTTGGGGGTAAAATGTATTTAATTGTCAAATTTTTTTTTTTTTTTTTTAATGCAAAATATAATTTTTTCTTTTGATTTTTGAGCCAAATATGACCCGAATATTTTTGTGCAGTTCACCTAATTATCACTACTTTGATACTGCATTTATTATACTGCAAATAAAGATTTTTTTCACCGACAGACAACAGTGTTTTGAAGCGATGCTAGAGCTTACAGTAAAGCACAGGTAAATCAGTTTGTGCTGTCTGGGCTTCATCTCTAATGAAACCTCTGCTCCTCAGCTCCGTAACACGATCAATTTCATTCTGGGTTCAATCTGAGCAGCACTTCAGTGCAATTCAGTGTTTCACACACATTCGCTGGCATTACAGCGGCGCTCCGACGCAATCTGACGCTCCTGATGAGCAACCTGCTCCGTTCCCACAGAGACGGACCGATGGCACACAAACTACTCATAGCAGGGGTTCTGCAGGCTTCATGAACGTAGATTTAAGACTTTTTTAAGACCAAGTAAAGAAAATGAACAGAATAAATTGAAGGGAACACAATCTGGTCTCTCTGGTTTTCCAGTGCAAATGTCTAAAGATTATTAAATCAAGATACATTTACTTAAGAAGCAAAATTATAAAGTCTTGTTTTATGCAAAATTGATCAAAATGAAGTTAGTTTATGATTTAAAAAGAAATATCTGTCAATGGGGTCAGAAAAATCAACGTAACCCTCTGATTCTGCTCACGTAGCAACCATTTATTTATTTATTTATCTATCTATATATTTATTTATTTTAATGAAATGAATGTACTATATTTTGATCCATTTATTATTACCAGTTACTTTTAATTACCTATATTACTTTTTGAGCATAGACCTGAAACTGTTGTAAATCTTGAAAGAAGACTTAAAGGGGTCATATGATGCGATTTCAAGTTTTCCTTTCTCTTTGGAGTGTTACAAGCTGATTGTGCATAGATAAGATCCCTGAAGTTGCAAAGACTAAAGTCTCAAAACCAAAGAGATATTCTTTATCAAAGTTAAGACTCTGCCACGCCCCCCTAAAACGGCTCGTTCTAACACGCCACCACATATCTACCTCACTATGTGGAAATATTAGCATAATGCAGCCCAAATGTGCACGCAAAGAAAGAAGGCATGGTTTCAGTAACCGCAGTTAGTGTTGAAACAGCCATGTCAGGGAGACGCTGTGTGATTCAGTGCGAAAGCAAAAGCACTTTATTTGGATCACTTACAACAGAACAGCAATGCATTCTATGGACGACCGTTTAGTGAACCTAGGAGAGGAGGTAATTCTGACTTTGCTATGACAATCTGGCGCTTCTGAATCAGCTACTGTTTTGTTATTAGTTTAAGTATTTGCTATTGACTGTTCAAATGCGGAGTTTTGAGCATCATGTGTGTGTGTGTGCGCGCGAGCGAGAGAGAGAGAGAGAGAGAGAGAGAGAGAGAGAGAGAGAGAGAGAGAGAGGGGGTCACATCACAAACACATACCAGCTTCATCACTGTGTCTGTCACGCGACTCTGTTCCCCTTTCGGGCTCTGTCTTTACATTTATTTTGAAAGATGAAGCTCGCGATTATGGTAAGGGGCGTTACATTTCCGACGAGTGCTTGCGGTGTTCGGCCAATCACAATGCACTGGGTCAGCTGGCCAATCAGAGCAGACTGCGCTTGTCAGAAGGAGGGACTTTGTAGAAAACAAAGCGTTTGAGAGAGGCGGGGCATAGAGGACCTACAATAATGTACAGTATTTGAAAAATAATGTGTTTTTTGAACATTAAAGCATGTCAACATATTCTGTTACACCAAATACACAAAATAATGATCTTTAAAAAAGCATCATATGACCCCTTTAAGTTTGGTCTCTTTCTAAAGAAGATACTTGGCAAAAAAAAATATTATTGTTATGAAAAATGCACAAAAATACCATTTTCAAATATTACATGAAATATATTTTCAAAAACATGTTTTACTCTAAAACTTGGAGAAAATCCTTAAATCAAATCATGTTGTGCTCCAAATTTGAAGTTGATATCACAAAACATGAGATTTTGTTTGAGCGCAGTACCAAACGTTTCCACTAGATGAAATTCACTTTCCATTCGTTTCCAATGCGTCATTTTTTGTGTGTGTTCACATCGCAAGTGCCATTTACCAAGTTTCAGACCATTCCAATAAAATAAAAAAAATTAAAAACGACGGTCAAAAATGACTGAAGAGCAACAGAGGGTTAAATTAAGAAGCATTTACTAAAAAGTCAGTGAGTTCAGAAAAATCAACTTGATTTATTTAATATTTATATTGATATTTGTTCTTGTTTTAAGCACAAACTCACTTCATTTTGTTCAATTTCTCAGAAAACAAGACTTCATGTGGTCATTGTGCATCTCCAGTAAATGTGTCTTTAGATATTCGTACTGAAAAACAAGACAGAAAAACTGAGGAAGAGAGACATTCAATGCATATCTGTCTCATGCATTAAGGCTTTAAATTGTGCACGGGTGAGATAAGACTTTAAGACCCTCAGAAAGTCTGTCATGCTGAAGCTGCGGACGTCAAACGCAGAATCAACCGTGTGTTTTAGTAAAGCACGACGCAGAGCACAGTCTGCGAGGGAAACGAAGCGAAGGCTGATCTTTATTCGGCGCGTGTGTGGCTGCAGATTAAAACACGGCTCTGGAAACACCTTTTAATCAGCGGCTTGTAAGAAACACTGGAGGTGAGAGCTGAACAGACTCCGAGACGGGACGCATTAATCACTCAAACACAGGCCGTTCGGCTCAAATTAAGCTCTTTGTGGAGCCTCTCAATTACGTCTCACTCAAACACACGCTTAACAAGACACTAATGAGACGCCGCACATCTACAGTATTCAGGCGCTCCTGCAAAAACAGCTTGTTAGAGTTGAACTGCCATCCGTTTTTCTGAAGGAAACAGATTGCGGTTCATCTTTAACAAGCCTGAGATAATAGGCATTATAATGTGACATATCGGAGCCGTTTTGCACAAAGCATTAGCTGACGGATTCCATACAAAGCAGCTTGAATCTCTGTAGCAATGAGATGCTTTGGACAATACGCTCGCGGTAAACCAATCAGATGTGAATCTCTCAGTCGTCGAGACGTTTGTTCTGAAAGCGAGCGGTTTGATTAGGATGATGCCGGTGAAGGAGCATCCATATATATTATTTATATGCATGTATACAAATATATATATATATATATATAGTAAATTATATAAAAATAAAATTTTTAGATGCTATTTGTCACACATATATATATATATATATATGTTATAAATAAATATACAGCTTATATCATCTCAAAAATAATATATATGATTTATTATAGTTAACTAAGAATAAAACCACAAGAAATTTTTTTTTTTAAATAAAAGAAACTTCAATTAAAATAAAATAATAAAAAACATAATTTCTCATTTTCATTTAGTTTGAATTGATGCACTAAAGATAACTAAAACACATTAAATAAAAATGAATAAAAAGTATACAGACGTAAAAAAAAAAATCTTTAAAATAAAAATTAAAACGGAAAATATCAAAATGAACATTGCTAATAATCAGAAATGTTTCTTGAGCAGCAAATCATCATATTAGAATGATTTCTGAAGATCATGTGACACTGAAGACTGGAGTAATGATGCTGAAAATACAGCTGCGCATCACAGAAATAAATTACAGTTTAACAGATATTCACATAGAAAACAGTTATTTGAAATAGTAAAAATATTTCACATTTTTACTGTATTTTTCATCAAATAAATGCAGCCTTGCTGAGCAGAAGAGACTTCTTCAGAAACAGTAAAAAGCACTACTGACGACTGACTAAACCTGCGGCACTAATAAACTCCTGCTTGCTTTAAAAAACTCAAATCAGACTGTTTCTCTGGGCGTTTGGGGAAAATACTGCGATTGAAAGTTTCTAATCACATGCGCGAGTTAAAGCTGGATATAAATAAGGGTGTAATCCTGCGCTAACAGCAGCTCAACCCCGCCGTTAGGAGCGAAGCAGCATTTCCATACAAACA